CCCATGGGGAAGTCTTGTAGACGCTTGGCGAGAGGCAGCGGACTGTTCAACATCGTCCCTTTCGATACGTTGGCTTGTGGATCTAGAAAAACGCCGAGAAGGTAGTGACACTAATTCGAAAGATTCAACCTCACCCTCAGGCCCAAAAGTAGTGAGATTCTCTAGTGAACTTAACTCCTGAAGCTGTGTCGCACTTATCGGAGGAGGAAATCGGACCCTGTCAACTATTTCAGGCTCATGCTCGGAGATGGAAGAGGTTCCCGAACCCATGGACTGTTCTAAATCTGGTGACAACGCGGGCTCTCTCTTGACATCCTCCATAGCCTGTCGGCTCGTTGCAGGAGGACCATCAGAGCGAGTGGTTGAACGGAAAGACTCAGGTAATCCGGCTGGCTGTTCTAAATCTAGTGCTGATGCGAGTTCGCTCTCGATTTTCTCTGTAGTCGGACGGCTTATACCTATTGTAGAAGGTCCTTCGGAGACAGTGCTTGGTTCAAAGGATTCAGACAACCCCGGCTGGATCGTGGGTTGACTCTCGGCCTGAATTGGCTCACGATTAAGCTGGCCTAGTTTGCCAGGTGTTCGAATTCTCATATGTGCCTCTATTGGAGAACGGGGCGGCGAGCTTTCCTCCTCGACAATGGACGGCTCACGCTCTTGTCGAAGTATGCGGCGGGTAATAGCTCGCCCAATCACTTCAGGCTTTTCCCTGAGCCGAACTAATGGCTGGTTTGGTCGCTTCTCTAACGACATCTCTTTGGTAAATTGGCGCGTTATTACTCTTTGAATGGCTGTCTCGATGTCTGGTTCGGTGGCGCAAGTACTGTCGGACACGTCTTCTTCAGTAGGAATCATAAGCTGTCTCTCTTTCTTAGTAGGCTCTCTTGAGACTCGCGACGGTACGTTTTCCCTCCGAGAGGACATTTGCTGAATGGCAGGGGCATCTTTAACCTCTGAAACAGAGCTTACTATGCTAGGGGAAGGCTCTTGGTTTGCCGATCTTCGGGTTGGTCGACGAAAGGTCCCCGTGGGTATTTGCGCTGGAGCCTGCTCTGACAGAGTCGACTGCCTCTCTGTAATAGCAAAATCATCGAGAAAAGCTCTCCGTAATGTTGGTTGTCGCGAGAGGGGAGTAGGAATATCCTCAGGTTTTTGGTCTGTAGACAGTTCAGAGGTAAGGGTCTCAGGGCTTTCCACGAGCGTGGCTTGCGTGGTCTTTCTCGAAGGCGTATACAGTGTCACCCTAGTCACCATACGCTCAGTGATAGGCTGTTGCGATTCTGATTCTGACTTCTCAACAGCCATTCGCGTGACTGGTAGCTGAAAGTCAACAGGCTCAGTTCCTGCATGTTCTAGTCCAGACCCTGTTTTGGTTATGGTCGCATCACCCTCACTTCCCGAATACACCGAAGAGCCAGTTTCAGTTGGTTCTCTTCCAAGTCGGCGCTCAAGGTCGTCCACCCGATCTTGAAGCTCGAGAATAGGCTCCGTATATGCCCTAGGCTGCTTCTGGACCTCCCTGTAGTCTTCGGGCTTATAGTTTGGTTCTTGATTGTAGTCGGACTCACTTTCTGGTTCATATTTCGGCTCTCTAATGGTTGTTGCCGACTCTAGTGTAGGGAGCATCTCAAGAACTGTGGTGATAGAGTCGATAGCAGCAGGAAGCTCTGACTGTGCCACCTCGAGCCATTGTTGAATCTCCTCGGGTGGGATGGATTCAATGTCCTGCAATCCTTGGGAGATGGTTGAAACGCATTGTGGCTGCGTTTGAATATGGGTAAGTACTGGACTGAGTCGCCTTTCGTTGACCTCTTGATCTAGTGTTCTCGGTATTTCATCGGCGACAGTATCTCCTGACTTGTTTCGGAATTGGGTGGAAGGTCTTGACAATCCAGTGGAGACTTTGGTGAGCACTCGTTCGAGAGGGTCAAGACCCTCTTCAAAATATTGACGCTCTCGCAGGTGGACATCAAGGTCTTCCGCGATGGTATCTAGCTCATCCATCAGCTGGCTGCGTGCCTCCGATAACTCTGTCAATTGCCTGCGAGTCTTCTGAAGCCAAGAGTCTTCGGTGGGCTGGCCATCTTCGACAACCTTCTCTTCTCCTATTGGAGGAGTAGGTCTTGGTGAGATTATTGTAGATGTTGGAGGGGAGTCTTCAATAGGTGCATTCAGGAACTCGGCTTCGTCTTGGATGCTCGGCCTTATGTCAAGATCGACGCCAAGGTCATCGGCAGCGGAGTTCACTAAATCGATCAACTCTGGAATCGACTTCGTGCTCTCTCTTAGGCTTGATCGCGAGTCATTGAGATTCGGCCCAACCTGCCCTGGCTCGCCCACATTCAACTTTTCTACAGCCTTAGGAGGAACATACGGACATGGAGGGATATAATCACACACTTGTGGGTAGTTGCAAGGTGGAGGATACCCAGAAGGGTCGTGCTTGCAGGGTGGAGGATTACATGGTAAGGGACGACAAGGCATGGTGCAAACACTACTATCCCTGCACCGGTCGACAAGGTCTTGGGATACCCTTCGCAGCTGAGAAATGCTAGGTTGACCGGATCTGATATTGCTGATTACCTGCTCCAGCGTATTCGCATGCTCTGTGATAATGGCGTCGATGATGACACCGAGGTCTTTAGCAAAGGTATCTCCACACCTGTCTGGTGGAATGCACTCAGAATGGTGGTGACGGCGTGTTAACCTACGACTGCAGGACTGGACATATTTCTTCGAGCTTGATGTACTCGACGAGCTTGCCGTGGATGAATCTGTGGTGGCACGCTTTTGCCTTGCTTGGTGTTTTGCTCTTGTCGCTTCTTTAGGCGCAGTGCTGGTGCTATTCGTTGCGCACTGACGACAAGGTTTTGCGGAAGCTTTATCTCGATGCTCATCCTGCTCGAGATTCGAGAAGTGGCCACAGGAGCGTTTGGCCCAATCTCCAGGATCTCGTAGAGGTCTTGTTGTCCTGAACGACCCACGAGGTTTGATTCTTGCGCCAGGAAAACCGAAATCTTTGGTCACGCGTCGCCCGTAAGAGCCTCGCCAATCAACATGATCCGGGACGAGAGTATCATGGTAACCTTCCTCCACGCCAACAGCAGAAGGAGGAATAGCAGCAGGAGCGGTGCTTTGTCGAAAGAAACTGCTCGGTGTACTGCTGGAGCCATCATGACTAAATCCATTTGCGGGGACCTCGTCCAAGTTTGCAGTCGTTGCGATGGGCTCCCCAAAGTTACGAACGTATGTCTTGACATCCTCATCTTGGCCTGCAGGGGTAGGTTTTGAAGACATCCGTCCAAGTTGTAGTCGAGGGTTAGAAATCTCGGCTTGATCTAAATGAGCGCTGCGTAATTGTTTCCGGCTGGACTGCCTTGAAGTTGTGGTGTCAACTTGGTGGGTTGGCACACGGTGACGGTCTGCTTTGGACTCTTGCCTTGACTTTCGCCGTCTGTCTTCGTAGTCTGGGGTCTTTTCTGCCGCTTTGCCGGACTGTTTCCTCCAGGAACGCCTTCGAAGATCGCGATCAGTGTCCTTACGTCTGGCTTCCCGAGCTTGTTTGGGATCATCCGGAGCTAGAACGTCATCGATCTCAGCAGCGCTCATGGATTCCCGTACATATTGACGTCTCACAGGTTCTTCAGACAAACGAGATCGGCTAAATCTCTTAGATTCTTCAATGGCGGCACGAGCGGCATTAGAAAGATCATCTAGCTTGGTGCCCTCACCAGCGGCTCGCTGTGCTTGAGCAAGGTCCTTCGTAGGTTGTGGGGGTTCTTCAAGGATACTTGCCGATCTACTTAGAATATTTGCCTTCTCTTCGACTGAAGAGGAAGACGTCGCTGGAGGGCCTTGGTCTATAGTGACTTCTGCCGGGCGATCGTGGGATTTCCATCGAGATGGTGTCTTGCCTTTGCCACCATCCTGGGACTCTGATGTTGTTCTCGCGAAGGCTTTTGGACCTGAAGATTCCTGCTTCTGCCGGATGAAAGGGTTTATCCGTTGAGAAGAAACAGGTCGATGGGTAGGTTCTGGGGGTGGCCTTGGAATTGGCAAAACTGAACCAGAATCTTCTCGCGTCAAACTATGCTCACTTGTAGGACTAGGAATACGTGTCAGGCGAGCATCTTCATCTGTCGATAGACATGGACGGGTGAGCTGGGCGTTCTCGCTTTGCGTCTGGGTGGTTGTTGATCCACCTTTAGCGATCGTGGTTGAGACAGGAGGCGGAAAAGGAGGACCTGTACCAGACTCTGAAGCTTTGCTTTCGAAAAACCTTTTCACAGCCTGCACCGAAACTAACTTTTGCGGATGCTTTGGAGGTTCTGAGGGCGCTTGGATAGCTGATACAGCGACTGCTCGCTCAGGCTCAGGTGGAGTAGGCCGAGTTGTGAATTTGAAATATCCAGATGTTCGGGGTCTGCCTTCCATGCTACTGCCCAGTTGAGAAGGTGGCCCCACTGCGGTAGGCTTCGGCTCTTGGTATGGAGACCTAGGTATTTCCAGGATTTGGCCATAGGGGTTCTTACCTTGTAGGTACGCTGGAGACTTTGGCCTAGCATTGGTAGCTTGCAGCTCGCCCAACTCTTGTGGAGGTGTAAGCGTAGGGTGGAGTGAGGAACGCTTCAATAGCCTTGGCTGTGGCTGTATTGGTTCACTAGTTCGAGATGCGGACGGAGGAGAAACGGTACTCTCGCTACGTCGAGAACGTACAAAGGGCTGCTCAGTTTGCTCGCGGGTCCCTAGGTCAGTGCGACGGGGAGCAGAGGCAGTCAAAGGCAGCTCGAAGCCTCGTCGCATGTGTCCAACGCGAGCTCGGGTGTGTGTGTGATAGACTGCTCTTGAAGGGAAAGTAGGTGACTTGCTCGAGGGTCGGTAATACGGTTTGGAATGACTTAACGGAAGGCAAAAAGTGAGGATAACTAGGAATGAAAGTGAGGCAAGAATGGTAGCGCTTTGGGGGGATTTGAGTGCACTCAGATCCAGGTTAAAGGGAATAGAAGCCGGAGCTGTTGAAGTGTTTTGATGGCTCGACAAGCCACTTCTATGTTTTGGTCTCTGCAGAAGGAAACTACGCCTCTGCACCAGGTACTGTACACATGTCGCAGTCCTATCCTTGGAAGGAAAGTCTATTTACATAATTACTTCAACGCTGCCTGCAGGCTCTCCAAGACCTAGAGTTTTCTGTCAGCTGGCGTACTTGGGCCGTCGGGTAGCAACCCATTGACCTACCTCAAGCTCGATCTTGGCCTCAGCAATGTCCTGCTCGCTTCCGCTGCCACTGGCAATCTTCTGGGCCTCGGTGATCTGGTTCCTGACGGCCTACATAAGCGTCAGCGCAGGCCCAATGTTGCAGGGTACGTGACCACGGTGCTTACCTCTGCGCTGAAATCCTCCAGTGGAAACCCCTCAACTGCATTGATGCTGAGTTGGGAGCCAGGCTGAACGACAGCGAATCCTCCCGAGACTGTTGTAGTTGTCAGCACACATTATTGCATCCTTTTGAAGCCGCAGTATCCTCGGCGGATCGACGTACGGAAGAACTGCTTGCTGCCGCCGCTCTCTTCAATGATCTCGACCAAGCCGGGCTTCAGTTGTTCGATGGACGGGACATGGTTTGCCAGGACACCCATCTCTCCCGTCTCGGCGGGAATGTTAACTTGGACGCTGCGTAGTGGGGGTTGTTAGTACACTATTGCATCGCTCGGGAGTGTCGGTCGGGCAAGCGGGAAACGTACACGTCTTGCGACTTGTAGATAGACTATGCGGCCAATTCGATCAGCTTCAGAACAGCGCTCAGCAGAAAAGGCGCATATGCGACAAATGCATTTCCTCGTCTACGAATGGATGGAGAGACATACCTGGTGCGGGAGAGCGAGGGAGAGCTTGATCTTGTCAGATGCGACGTCGGCGTAGCCCCTTCGCTGAAGCGGGCGGCAGATGGCAGCAGGCCTTGCGCGGAGGGCGGCTCTGGCAATGCGAAGGGAGCTCATGATGGACTGAGGCGTGGGAGGGATGCAATTGCTAGATTGCCAAAGCTTGCGCTGTGTTGAACTTCTCTCCGGCCAAATGAGCTGCGGCTTGGCAGTTATGTAATCACTATCGCCGAAGATTACCCGGCCTGCAGATGTGAATCTGACTTGCCCATCGACAAAAGCATGGCTACTCCCAAGGGTCAGGGTGCATCTATTTCACTCATCGGCAAGTCCAAAAAAGGCTGCCGGTTGCTTCAGTATAAAGGTGAACTTGACATGGCATTGAACCCTTCTGGCGAGCCCAAGTAGCGCTCTCAGCTCCTAGTACGGTTCAAAATCCCTCAAGACTCTTAATGAGGGTTGTACCTCCACCTTCCAGCTCTGGTCTTCTGATGACTACACTCTCATGTCCGTACTTCGCGTCGAATAGCCGTATAAATTAGCCACAGGTCTAGTCACGACCGGAGCGTCGTTTTCCGAGGAGGCCAAATATGTTCCACGCACACCACGCTGTCCACGAAAAGACTGCAACAACGATCAAGAAGCCTACCCACATCGGAAGGATTTTGCGGGCCCGAGCGGGTCCGTAAGGCATACCAATGTCATGGCCGGCGATAGGACGAACGAGAAGGGGCCTCTCCCCAGAAAAGCTGGATTCCGTCATCTCGGGAGGTTCGTCAAACCCGCTATCCTGATGGGGAGGCGGTTGAGGATGGTAAACCTGGCTGTCTTTAGCTGGCGGAAGCTTCGGGTCGCTGAAAGACCATCTATTATACCTTTGCTGCCATGTCGCTGCATACTAAGGGTAAGCTCCCGTCCTAGTGGCAATGAGAAGTCCCGATTAAGTCGTGTTTGGGGTTTCTGTACGACGTTGAGCTCTGCGAAGCAACAGCGTGCTCCTTCTCAGAGACTGCGAGGGGGCTGAACTCCATCGCAACTCCGCCTCAGTTCCGCCTTGTGTGTTTAGGCGCCTCTTTTGGTTGGTCGGAGCCTGCAGCAGAGTACCTCACAATCTATTTGGTGGATTGCGAAGGACAAGCTTTTGGGGCCTAAGCTTCTCTTCTGCAACCGATGAGATCGACATGGGCATGGACAACGACACCGCAATTGTAACCTTTCTCATCGTCACGATGTATTACACACTTTCACAAGGGAACGCTGTGTGCAGCAGGCTCCCCAGCCTCCGCTTTGGCGAGTGACGCATGATGAAAGCTGAGAAACGAGCTTCCTTGCATGCTGCAGTCCGTTTGTCCACACTGCCCTGTGCCAGGAGCTCGCACCATGCGTCCGGTTACTCACTTGCAAGCCTGGGTGAGGCTTCTAGAGGTTACCAACGGCCAAAGCAAGGCATTCCGGTTTCTTCCATGACGTCGGAAGCTGGAGACGGAGGCAACGGCTGCTGTGCACAAGACTCCGCCGCATTGATGAACTGAGATCTTGCCATGATCAGCTTATGCATACCATCACGCAGATTCATTCTCCAATGCACCACGCGTTTGCGGGGTTGCCTGAAGTGGTATAGCTGGTGTGAGTCTGTTGGTGGGCGGGGTTGGCTTGGTGGAGAGACATTGTTGAAAGAACATTCGCGAAACCGTCCACCTCAAAGGGTCGACATCTCGGCATGCATTCCACCACCAATTCACGGCCCGGTCTTTGGTTTGCGCGCTTCTCTCGGGTCCAGCCTTGCCTGTGAGCAGCGTTCTTGCCTCCAATTGCAGCATATCATTCACCATTCCCGCCTCAGCTGAGCCGTCGGCCGCACTTTCCGTTGGCCATGAGCAAACCAGAAGAGTCAAACTTTTCCTTTCTCTGCTTTCCAGAATTCCGTGATTACCAGTGAGAGACTTGGTGGAGTTCAAGCCCAGCCGTTCTCCTCGGTCGTAGTTCCGTCATCCGCGTTCTCAATATGTGCCCAGCTGCACCTGCATATTGACATGTAGAAAACCAACGCATTCCCAGAGGCACTGCCCCAGACTGCACGCTACTCCTGCTGACCACGTCAGGAGCAAAACATCCCCTTTATTGTTCTATTTCCTGTACCCAATCCCTCCCCTTTCCTAGACGTTTCCTCATCCTCGAGTGCCTTCCCCGGGTTCTTTTATATCACCTGATTGGAAGGTGTAGAGTTGCAGGGGTCCGAGCGGATTTATTGGAGCTGATCGGAGGGCTTCGAGAGGCACGCTCTTCGACATGCCCTTAAACTTGCACAGGATGGACGGTTATCTTGATGAGCTTAGAGCGACCGGACAAAATGTAAGCATTTTCGGAGTCAAGTGTGGTCGTTTCCGTCTTGTTCAATTTCTCTATCCTACCCTCTGGCCTCATCTATGAGGTGCCTCTCTACACCACTAATTTTGATTAGACTCTCGCATCAGCAGACCCAGAGCAGCTTCTGAAGACTCACCTGCCACACGTCCCGAGTGACCTATTATTGAATCAGTGCAAATTTCAGACCTATGCCAAGCTGGAGGATGTCCTCGAAGCTCGTGATGCCAACAGATCTGAAGTGACGCGCCACGACTCTCACCATTTCCCCGACCGCCAGGCAACGTCCGTCGAAGTCCTTCAAGTAGAGACGCCAAGCACCAGCGACGAAGAAGACGAGAGCGATGCTTTCGAAATGAAGTTTAAGCGGCTGGGTTTAAGGCATTTCAGTGCTTCAGAAGATCCCTCGGACTCAGGGCAAAGACACTGCAATAGATCATCAAACCCTCCCCCGAGCAGCTACCCTCAACACTACGATATTTCCTATCGGCCAACGTCACTGATCACTCCTGCCATTGCGCATGCTATCGGTGACCTCTCGGCTTCTGAAAGCTCTGATATGGATTTATCCGATGCTGATGACGAGAGAAGCGCTGAACGAGGAATAAAGCTCCATCGTCATCACCCTCAGAAAGAGGAACCGTACCCACAGATCCCCCCAGAGCCTTCCCTTCAGCCTGTGCAACGTGATGGGGCTTTCCCGGACGATCCATCTACTCTCCATCTCGACAGTGCCACCGCTGACCTTCCCTTAAAACATCACACCCGAGCTCGCACCTACCCCCTGCGTATTCGGCCAGTGTCTACACACATCATTGACGCGACAACGCACCTCCAGTCGCAATCTCAGGAGCAAGCAAATATCATAACCCCCCCGTGCAACAGTATTCAACCTCGGGGTTCCACACTCCAAGTTGATCAGCCTCGACCCCTCCACCTGCAACCTCATCCTGGACGCGCGCGCCCCCTACCACCAACCCGCCCTCGACCCCACTTTGCGCCCAACCCAGCCCCCATAGCCGTGCCGCTTCCCCGTCGTTCTTCGAACCCTCGACCCCCTGTCTCTGCTGAGACCGATGCTTTCTACAAGAGCCTAAAATCAAAGCTCTGGAAACTAGCACAGGAGCTTGAAGCCAGAGGTGATGCAAGTAGGGTAAGCATTAAGAATGATGAAATCCCAAGTCCCGATAGCGATATAGAAGACATGTGGGACCAAGAAGACGATGATGTACCGTGGGATGATGAGGCAGTGGATGAGCAATCGTTACATGGAAGCGACATTGATGCCGTCCTAGACTCTTTAAAGAGAAGGAGCTCAAGTATGGGTATCGTCCGCAGATTGAGCGAAGGACGTGGACGACGGGCTGCGAGGGAGCGTGCCGAGAGGGCCAGGTGTAACTGGCAGCGTGGTCCTGATTGAGAAGCTGATTGAGGTATTGACCGGACTACTCTTACTGAGGAAAAAGGCTAAGAGATTGGCCTACCACAATTAAGAGTCAGGAAGTGCTTTCAGGTCGCGCATATTATCTTTCCATCAATTACTGTATTCCTTATCGTTCACAGGCTGAGAATCTCACAAGCTGGAACAACCAATGGACACTAAGGCTCAAAGCAACTCGGTGGAGTGGAAATGATTGTTGGTATAAATGCTTGGGCGGAAGGCCCAGGTGGTAAAATTACATTATTATTTTTGCTTTTCTCCTCTTACATCTTACTCTCCATAATCTCCCACTACACCACTTCTGTCGTTACTATTCAATGCTCTTCTCTGCTCTAATGTCCATTTTCTAGGCCTCCCAGTTCCCCATTTAGTCTCACAATTTGCTGTTTCGAGTTCCCGTATTTTTCTCCGCCAAAACATCCTCGTTCAACACTGGTCTACCCGCCTTGCCTGCCGTCGTCTACTCAACATCAGTCATGTTCGCATGATATCCACCACGGGGTACGTACCCCAGTATCCACTGGTAGAATTCCCCCAGTAGTCCATTTTGCCTCCTTACTACATAATAATAAGATCTATTCACCATCATAAGCCTCACTCAAAAGCCACTTGAGGCGAGAGGAGAAGATGGAGCACTCACCATGTCCCACATCCCAGGCACTCCCTTCCACGCCCATCAGATTCTGACTCACCCTTACCTTCCTCATTTCCCCCATCATCCCCCTTCCCCTAACCATTGGAGTAAACACCATTCCGGGAGCGACATGTTGACGATCGATCCTCGACCATTTTGGCGAAAGACGGAGATGCAGTGGCGCGCCACGAGCACCGTTGACGTCAAATTTATCCGGAGGTCGCGATCCCAGGCGTCAATATCGACTTTTGTTGCATCGCCGATTGCACCACCGACACCGACTACTTCTAATTAGTATTCACATTTCTTTGCCCATACTGTCCTGCCCATCATTCGAAATCAGAAATCCCAAACTCACTGATATTCACAAGAATGTGAATGGTACCAAATAGCTTGACAGCCCTTGCCATAGCTCTCCGACAGGACTCTTGATCCGTGACATCGGTTCGAATGACCTCTGAAATCCCGCCTTCTGCATTGATCATGCGTTTTGTTTCGGTGGCCATTCAATGCTGTAATCTAACAATGCAACTTTTGCACCTTGTCGTGCAAGCAGAATTGCGGTTGCCCGGCGGTTGCCTATTTCACCTGCGAACATGTTAGTAGGAATCTCACATGCGCTTGCAAAAGGGCCCAGGGGAGTACGGGACACATGACGCAACCGTGTGTACCTGGCATGCGAGATCCGGCACCCGTCACAATGGCGACTTCGCCCGTGAAGTCGAATGCTTTTAGTAGTGTCATGGCTAAAAGAGACATTCAAGCAAACAAGAAAAAGACTGAAGATATGAAGGTGGCAAGTCAAAAGTCATCTAAATTAGGTGAATATTCTCTCGATGTTCGACAGGTTCCCTTTTGAACGGCCCCACGTGAGGGAAGCATGCGAACAAGCAGTTTAATGACAGAGAAAGGCTTGGATTTGTTTGTGACAGAACTGCAACGCTTCTTTACACAACATGCAACTAATTCCGGCAGTTTCTGGAGACGGCAAGGTAGAAGCGGCGATAAGCGGCGATTTTTATTGATGCATGGCTTCCTCTCTTTGGAGTGGGGAATAGACTCAGGAATTGGTGGAGGGGATTAGAACACGAATCGTACCCTCATCAGCATTAGTATTGGGTTTAGATTGAGATGACATTCTATTTTAGAAGGACACACTGCACGAATGCAGGTCCACCAAGCTACTTTCAAATCCCTACTACAGTGACAGCCAAAAGTCAAACCACTCCACAATTCCCTTCATACTCTGCTCCTTTACATACCTCTCATAGCTGTCCCCCATATCCCCCCTCAAGGCAAACCCATGCGCCACACCCGAAAACAATTGCAACTGATATGATTTTTTCTCCTCAACCATGATATCCACCGCCTTGTTCCTGCTCTCCGTATCAAATGTATGATCGACCTCCGCGCAACTCAAAAGCAGTGGCTTCTTCAAATCTCTAAAATGATGCTCTTTGAGGAATGCCGGGTGTGCAAACACACCAGCAGAACAGAGGTCCCCAGCAAGCTCATCGCAGACGTATGGCGCGCCGAAACAGTATCCCACACAGGCGTACTTTGTTGCTGGTTTCCCGTACTCTTGCTTTACAGCCGCCACCCACTTCGGCACTACTTCTTTCGCAAAAGAAGTATGTTTCTTCTTCCACGCCTCATAGTCAAAATCAGGTTCCGTTGTCCTGTCGTGCCGGTCCTTCCGATGCTTCCACACCGGGTCTCCGCGAAACCGTCCATAATCAGCATGCCGTTGGGGAACATGCCCTAGACATCTAGGAAATAGAGTAGAATACAGCCGTTGGATTTCCTTTCGGGTGGTTTTGAAATATACGTCTCGACACCGGAAATAGTGACAAATGAGCCTCGTGGGCTGCCGGAGTGTATGTTTCCTTCCAAGCAGCAGGCGCCGGACGGTTTTCCAAGATACGTTACTCTGCTGAGGTCGTCCTTTAGCATTGCGGAGTCGTGCGTAGCTTTCGGGTCTTCCATTGCGAATTGCTCACTTTCTCACTCCGAGGTCTCAAAGCTTCTGGAAGGGAAGTCCAGGTTGGTAAACGTCTAAGTAAACTCAGCAACGCGTGGCATTCCACGCGGAGAACGACTCCTAAGGTTCGCACGTTGTCTCGGCCCTACACTCGGAACCTGATGCACCAACGTCATTGCCTCTCGACGTAGCCTAGTGCACTCGCGGGGATTTCTCAACATTTGCTCCTCTCCGTCCAAGAAATTCGCGGGGTTTTCGCCGAACGATTGACTCGTTTTCCCCGTAGCCTGTCGTCAGAAAGTTTGCAGCGGTGCATAAGCCAACGAACGCTCGTGCACCTCCGCGTTTTGGGGTCTCCTCAGATTCCTGGATAACCCCACAGGCAGAGGAGATGTGGTCAGCGGACTATAAAATATAGAGTATAAGAAGGCCCGCACTTATGCCTCTTGAGTCTACTGACATAATGGCTCGTCCTTGAAGGCGTCGGTGCCAAATTTGTTCATCATGGCGGATCTCAAGAGCACCGTGTCGAAGTTGAGCTCGATCCCGAGTGGGGCTCGGAGACCAAAAGCGCTATGAGCCAGGACTTGATGCAATTTATGAGAAGGACACTGTTGGATATAAAGAGTATCGGGAGGGTCTCGATATCGAGTTCACGGAGAAGGAGGCATGCATTCCATTCCACGTGCAGTGGTAAACGTTAATTAATTCTTTAGAATACACGACTTCGATGGACGATCGATATCGTTGTTCTTCCTATCTTTTGATTACCCAAGCTCTCCAGTTCATGGACAAGACTGCCATGAACTACGTCAACCTTTTTGGCCATCAAAAGGCTCTGGGTCTCTACGGTAGACTGTTCAACTGCCTCTCCGCCATGGTTTATGCCGGTTACTTATTCGGGCAGTACCCTTGCGGGTGGCTGATTGGACGTTTCCCTGCTCAACGTGTAATCGGAATCAGCTGTCTTCTCTGGGGCGCCATGGTCCTCATTCTTACACAATGCAGGTCCTACTCCTCCGCTCTTGCCGTATGGCTTTTCATGGACGTTTTCGAAGCGGCTTTCACTCCAGGCTTAACCCTCATGGCCGGATTCTGGTATACAAGGCGTGAGATTCCACTTCGACAGTGAATTTGGTACGCCTTACTCGGATGGAGCGGCATCAATGGATCCTACATTTCTATGGACGTGTCAAAGCTCCCGCTGACTATGAAACCTGAAAGATGGGAGCTCATCTTCTTGATACTTGGAGGAGCCACCTGTCTCTGGGCCTTTGTGGTCTACTTCTTCCTCCCTGATGCTCCATCAAATGCCTGGTTCTTGCCTGAGCGGGAGCGCATCCTTGCATCTAAACGTGTGTCCGGAAACGAGATTGGAATCAAGAGCAAAGGTTTCAATACGAAGCAAGCCATAGTCGCTTTCTGGGATCCGAAAGCGTTGCTCCCCTTCACTTCCGTCTTCGCAGCAGCCATACCTAATGGGGTAGTGAACTCTTTCTTCTCCACCATCATCATTCGTGATCTCGGCTTCACCACGACAAGACCACCGAATTGAAAAGTGTGGGCGACGCAGTCCAAATCATATCTTTGTCCATCGGTGGCGCAATAACCCTCAATGTCCCCAACTCACGCCTCCTGACAGCAACAGTGGCAAATATCCTCTGCACCGTCGCGGCTGCATGCACCGCATACCTCCCACGATCTAATACCTGGGGACACCTTGTCTCGTTCTAGCTCGTCAACTGTCAGTGTTGGCTTCACCGTCTCCCTCGGCAGAATTAGCTCCAACATGGCGGGCTACACGCATCGCACCATGGCGTCTGCTATGATCTTCACAGTCTACTGCTGGGGAAACTTTGTTGCAGGCTCCTTCGTCGTTAAGGAATCGGAAGCACCGGAGCACCGCGGTGCGACAATCGGGTTGCTCGTCGGATATACTATCAAGTTGGCGTGTCATTTGGGACTCCTAACTTACGTATTCTTCATGAATAGACATCGCAATAGGAAGTATGGTCCAGCGGATAAGACAAGAAGTGATGAGGCTGGAATGCTGGATGTCACGGAATTCGATAACAAGGACTTTGGACATGTGTTGTGAGATTAAAGGCCGGCGGGGACTGACGGGGCATTTGCCTCTTTGGAAGCCTGGAAGGCTGGGTACTTGCAAACCTTAGAGAGAATGAAGGCTATTCCACATGATGCCGTTCTAGACGCAATGCCTGAATATGTCGTGTCGGTCTTCGCATACCGCTTCGAGCACCTCACAGTCGATTCCTCGTGCATCAGTGCAAAATTTGACCAGTGCAGAAAGGCGACTCGGGCTAAGGTACATGCGGCAGATCGTCTACTGGGGTTCAGCCAGGGCCTGGCCCGCGGAGCGATCAGCTGGCGGCATCCATGACCGGAATTCTCCCCTCAACACCTCCTCTTGTCGTCGCGTCCATCAAATGGAGATTGATGCCTTGGGGGCACCCCCGGACGACGTCCATTTTCTAGATACGGCATGTCGCTTGATATGTCCCCAACCAGAGGCGCCGTGCGGGGTGCAATCAGCTGAGCCTCAGCGTTGCACTCTGCACTTTGCTTTGCAGCCTTCCCCAACATCAAGGCATCCGAGTGCAAAAGACACAGAGCTGCCATGGGTACGGCCTCCCGACAGTATATATTGGCGGCCGCTCCTCGGAGTGGTTTTATTTAATTCGGGCGTCCGCTGTACCACGAGCCGTGGAAGGATCGTGCGACAGGTGCGCTGTTTACTTCTTCTCTGCCTCCTCACCGCTCGGACTTTGTCTTCTCTGACCTCTCTCCAATCGACCATTAGCGGAGGCTCGTTTTCGCTTCTAATTTCGCGAAAGGCCAGTGAAATGCTCGTGTGCGCCTGAGTAGAACCGCGTATATTGTCTCAGCTGTCGACATATAATAATTCACCAGCAGCCAGTGCCAGCTTCCCTGCCCACAAACTTGCACCTCTGCCATGATGGCGGCAAGCTCCTCAGCGGCCTATGGCGGCCCGGCCATCAAGCTCGAGGACAGCCCGGAGCCCTCTCCGCCACGCATTACCCCGTCCAACGACCCTCACTGCGAGCCGGCAATAAACTGGACGCCTCCAGCACTTGTCACAGACCAGAAAGACCCTGAGGGTTTCCTCAGACGGTGTTCAGGGTACATCAAGAAGACTAAAGCGCGGTGCAGCGCCGCCATTGGCAGGAACTCGCACCATGCAAAGAACTCCCACCCGAAGTTCCTGCCGACCTGTTATGCGCATCGCGATCAGCGCAGTTTTGCCGGATGGTGTCAGTTCCAGCAGCAGGATGGAGCGAGATGCGGCAGGCTGTTCAGGTGGACGCCGCCGTACTTGGAGCTCTGCTCCGAGCATCAATGCCGTCCAGACACGCCATGCTACTTCATGAAGCTGCCGCTAGAGCTGCGGCTCGAGATATTCCGTTACTTGCTGCCTTCGGAGCCCATTGGGTCCTCGTCTTCGCCCATGCACCAAGAGCAGAATGACACTTATTCATCGCCATCTCTGCCTCCCATTGCATCCATCACTATGAACAATTGGGGTAATCCTTTACCTCCGCCGCCTCCAACCCCCTCGCGGCCCCCGCCTTATGTGAGGCCTTGGCGCCGCCCCTGTCGCGTGTTCTCGCAATCTCCAGCGATGCCGCCGAAAACTTTCCCATTTCCCATAGTGGATTTATTTCTCGTGAACCGGCAGGTACACGTGGAAGCGAAGGATTTGTTGTACAGCACTGTTCCTTTTGTCATTGACATTCGAAAGGATGGGACTTTCATGTGCGGGCGGCGTCTGCTCGAGCCGAGGAGGGCTGATGGACTACCTCATTGTGCTGTCGATGATGCTGAAGCAATTGCACAGCGTTTCATACGGAGTTTTGATTGGACATCTGTCAAGAATTATAACGTGGACATCTTGGTTGAGAACTGGAATGCCGCGACACCTCCTGGGCTAAATCGACCGGATTCTTCGTGGGATGAGGAGGTTGAGATATATGATATCCGAGGTAAGATACTCGTTTGCTGTCAAATTCGAGATTGCTAGCTGATGCAATCAGACTATGTGGGAGCCGCTGTCACTGGCATTCTCAGTAAAGCACGGAACCTCTGTAGACTCAACGTCCGTCTTGGCCTTTCCAAATTTCGATGGTCGGATGAAGAACTTCTCTCCAACACAAAATGTTTGGTCGCCCCTTTCAACCGTCTCCGTAATGTTCGCCAACCTAGGTTCAGAGGTGTCTTTGATGGTACCACCCGGACGCCCTACATGATCAACATCGCATCGCCGGCTATCCAGCTAGGGCCCTCTGCCGGCCCTGCCGGCCTAGGCCTGGCTCCCCCAAAGCCCTCGCTTTGCTCTGTGCCCCAGTTCCCAATGCGTACTCTCCTCCTTGGCCCGGGTAACATCGAATTTGATCAGTTCAGAGAAGGCTGGGAATCATGTCTTTCTCAGACGGCGGATGGGCCACCCAAGAAAGCGCCAATCCGCAACATGTTCATCGAATTCAAAAAGTTCTATTGTGAACTATCAACTGTTGTCCCGGAGGTGATGCAAAGAACAGGTCGGCGAGCATTTCTACACCGTGCCCGCGTCGCTCGAGAAAACGAGGACCTCGAGGCCTTCCGAGAAGTGCGCAATGAGCTTATTATCTACTGGTACACCTATCTTGAGCAGGAGGAGGCCAAGAAAGATGACATGAATGCGAGACTTAGCCGTATGTTGGATGCAGATACCTATTCATCGACCGGATCAGAACAACCTCAACGCCGGGGATCCTCAGCCGCCTCTCCCATTTTGTTGGATGTCGAGAAGATGACTGCTGAGGGGATTCCTATGCAAGGAAATCAAATGAGCGACAGACAAATCCAACAACGTCAGGCCATGGTAACGAGACAACGGCAATTACAGGGGCTGATTATGGCGAGGCAGCAAACCCAGGCCACTACTCACCCACATGGGATACATCATCATATGACTGGACATGCCTCGCGACCTCCAAATCTGCACTTGAATCCGCAGAGTACTATTCAAATCCAGGCTGCTCATGTCCAAGCTCAAAGAAATGCTGTTATATCGGCGACGGCGACACGACGGCGAGCAGCTCAACTCGCCGCAGAGCAGCAACGTCAGCAACAACGCCAATTTGCGTTTCAACAAGCTCAACCAGCATTTCGAGCGACGGTGTCGCATCCGCAAAATATTGCAATGCCAAGCATGCCGACTCAAGGGAGTGATTTTATAAATGTCTACGGCCCGTCCAAAATATCCGATTCGACTTTCAGTTCCACGAGTCACATATCTGTACTTGCATCTTCTCCATCGCCCTCGGCGTCTACTGCCTCTTCAGCAACCCTTCCCTCTCCGCATGAATCGAACAGACAGGGCTTCTCAATACCACCTGAGTGCTCCTCGTCATCGTCTGGCTCTACCCCCGCGACCGTGACCACGACCGCACAACTTCCTTCCCCTCTAACTTACCCTGACACTACGACTTCCGATTTCTCGCGCTCATGCCAAAACAAACACCCAAACCAAAACCTACCAAATGTCTATACCTCTTACAAACGGAACCAAACCCAAAATCAATACCAAGTCCAAAACGAACCTACCGTCCAAACTTTCTGTTGGCTCGACCCCCCTTGCTTCCCTCTGCATACTCCACAACAACAACAAAGCCAACATCCAATAGCTCCTAACTACCCGAACGCAAACACCGTTTCATTGGCTCCTGACGATTTACCCCCTGCCGGAGCGCCCGACTCAAATCTTGTGTGCTTTGGCGACCACAACGCCCGGGAACAAGCATGCTATGGAAAAGATCTTAACTGTCCTCCACCGGGAGTTCCTGACCCCGTCAGTCCGCTGACGCCAGCAAGGAAGAAGAGAAGAATTGATAACACAAGAGATGAAAACGGGCATGGCAGTCGTGAGGTTGGAGGACACCCAGACGGAGACACTGGAGGCAAGGTTTCATTACTTGAAAATGAAAATTCTGGCATGCAAAGTGATGAGTTGAAGTGGCCGGATCACGGGGGTCCGTCTAACGGAACACTTGCGATTTCGGAGTGGGATTTTAAAGGGAAGGGGAAGCAAAGAGTGGATGTGGTTATTTTGGATTGACTGGCCTAAACATTTTCGCCGTATTTGGATGACCCTCTCTAGAGAAGTTGGTGGGTGGCGTTTGGTGAATATCCCTTGTGCACATTTCTTCCTCTTGTCTACCCAACACCAGTTTGCCTTACCTCCCCCTTATCTTTAGTCTTCTTTCCTTCCTTGGTTCAAGTACCTTGGTGTCCATTGGTTTGGGACTCGCGACTTGATTCTTTCTCTTTCCCTTATAGCCTCACTGTACTTTCCGGCTAATGACTGTATGACTGCACGACCTTTTTGTGCCAGAATGATGATTAGGGTTATATGTATGTAGGTTTATGCCTAATATATTAATACATAAGGTACTGATTGACTAATTAAGCCTTTGTGGATCAAGAACTTGTGCCCTGTGTGCGCTGAGGCTGCTCCAACATCTGCTATCTCACTTAGGGCTCCGCAATAGAGAATGGGAAAGAAAGATGTTATCGATTTAATGTAGAAAGTAAACGGGGGATCAGATGAGCAGCACAAACACCGGAGAGCCCTGGAGGTTGAGTGTGTGAAACACCCTCCACACGTGCACCATAGATCGGGATTACTAAGCTCTCCATGTCTGACATCACAGCGCAACTACTCAGCCTCACGAGATCCAAGATGCGTTCCAAGATCGACAACGTTCCCGCCCTTAGCAAGGAATGAATTCTAATATCCCCTACATTCTGCTATTTGTGGTATTTGGCTGGAGGAGATCTGTTTCGGAACCCTTCTTGTGGCACTACGTCAGCACGATCTCACGCATAAATATCATTGCGAGAATACACCAACTTCAACTCTCCATGATTCACTAGCCCAATCATTTTTTGGTCTAACTCTAGACCTATTCAAATAAGATTTCTTTTCGGAAGACCTCTCCCAAAACTTTTCCCAGGACTTTTCCCAAGCCTTTGTAATCCAAGTTTTTCGCCCTTAAAATGGAAAGCAAACCCAGTCCCACTATTTTGTACGCCCCTACCCCCGCCTTTTTCATAGCGCAAGGTACATTTTTTGTCTTAAAAAACTTTTTATAGGATTTATTTCTTCACAAAACGTAAGTTATGCACCTCCAGCCCTCCACTGCGAACCCGGCCAAACGCTACTATATTGACCAATCGAATTCCTACGTTGGCCTGATGGGTTGGCGATATTCTGGACAACATCTCGTAAGGTAATGAGGGCTGCCGAAGCGTCCGTCCAAGCGGTGCCTTGGAGAGAGCTGTTGATTATTTCTATGGTTCTGTTGATGTCGCGAAGGACTTGGTCCACATCTTGAGCTGTAAGCTGCAGAGTTGCCATGCTGTTTTGTCCAACGTTTTTGTAGACTCTTTCATTCAGACTTCTGATTGTCGATCTATGTGGCTCTGGTATGCTAGCTGGAATTTCGGTGATTCTTCCAGTCATTGCATCCCGTGGCGCCATCTGAAGGCCGATCTTTGCCTTCGAAAGAATGTGTATAGGGTTTGGCTTCGAATTTTCTACAGTTGCCTTCTCAGTGCAGCCTACCTTCATTACAGGACTCAGACATTACCGTTGAGATTCTTTGCTGAGAATGTCACGCAAGGTTTCGAACCGCGTGAAAGAAGTTACCGGGCGGCATATGATGAAGAGGAGGCATGGATTTGCTCAACTCTGTTTGGTGTAAGCACCTCATTGGTCACTCCAACTCTCCCGACATATTTTCCATGATCACAGGGGCCCAATCCATCAATTTGGAACAAATCAGCCCACGCTCACTCCTTTTCTCCACAATCATATGCAGTCCGGGCGGTATCGGACTAAAGTTAAGAGTAGTACGCCAATTGCGAAGAGACTTCATGCTCTAAGGCTGGCTATTTACACGGGAAGGACTCGATTCGATGCCTTGTCTTTTTTGCCAGAAGAGGATTCCCCGCCTATGTTTCCGACATCCCCATTGCAGGTCTTGTGAACCTTTCCCGCAGATCCAGCACGTCGGCATCTCTCTCAACCAATAGCAAGGCACCACGAGCTTCGTTTTGGAGATGAACACGTTGTTCCTGCAGCAAGACGACATATGTTCCCACCCACCGGGGTACTCTCACACGCACCTTCACTGACGTTTAGACGACCCTTGGACGTCCTAAGCGCATCTCCACATCTTTTCAAGTTGTTGAAGAAGGCAAGGGGTGAGGAGACAGAGTCCCACTGATCTGAAAGCTTCGGCTACTTGAAATTTTTTTTTCTTTCGTGGTGATCCTCCTGGCCGACCGATGTCGGCCAAAAGCTTCGATAATTTCTTCTCATCAGCCTTACACTCATCCGAGCCTCTGGTAAATAAAATCCGAGACAGTGTTCCCGCAAGGTGCTCCTATTTATTTACCGAATCTCTTGCCAGAGCCGACAACTGCAAACTTTCAAGGCTAGAAATCACAGAAGCAGTGGCCTAATTGGAAGTTATTTTATCCCCGACAATTGGCCTCTTCACTATGCCTGTGGAGAACTGCCCCTGGAGGATCCTTTTCTTGGGAAGATAGTCCCTTTCCTCTGTGGCCTTTTAGCTTCGTGGCAAATTGAGGGACGAAACGCCGACGAACCTTCTTCAATACGAGAAGTTTACAGGTTAGCTATTTCCAGGTCCTAGTTTGGTCTGGCCTACTTCTGATGTCCGCGGCACGAGACGTGGCCTTCCGCCATATCTTATCAGAAAAAGCAATACGAGGTGTGATAGAACACCAGATCACGCTAACTAAAAGAGGAAACAAGTAGCCCCTCAACCCGGCAAGGGTTACTAACTTTTCCTAGAGAATCTAGAACGTCAATATGACCCTGCACCATTTCACGAATAAACATCTCCCAGAGGGAGTTCGCTGTTTGGCGAAGCACATGGTCATGGGTTGTATTCTTCATTATATTATACGCTACTGAGTCTTTTAGTCTACCAAATATGATGCTTCTTTCCTCATAAACGATATTAGACTGGCTTAGAGGCTTCTAAGCTAGCAATTTCTTAGCACTAGAAAATCTTAGATCTGCAGTTAGTTATGTTTATTACATAAGCATCTTATTTAATGTTAGCTATAAAAGGCTTACTATGTCT